CCAAAAAGCCAAATGTACCAAAGTTGCCGAATATCTCATGTTAGTGATGTTACTGGAATGCTCCCATATATCAGGCGTAGCTAAGCCAGCCTCTGAATATTAATTCCTATTAAAAACCGTGATAAACTAGAGGCTTACCAAGCAAAAAATCGGCAGTACGATACTGAATCGAATCAGCAATACCACAGAAACAATCGATGAGATCGAGGAGATCCGTTTCGCGAGCTTCTGGATTTTGGCATAGCGAATTGTATTTGTCACGAAGTGGTTGCAGAAGCTGTAAATTATTCATTTGATTATTAATTTCTTAAAACTACTAGCTTTTTCTTTTTCCAACATTAAAATATTTTTATTATAAGTATTTACAGACATAAAAAATTCGATGCTGCCAAAACAGAACGCTTCGTTCTCAGATTCTGCTTCAGGAACCGATCAGTACCCAGCAAATTCATCTTCCCGGATGATTCAGGAATCAAACGTCTAGTCAGCACGCTATTCTCGTAAAAAGTGTTTTCTCATAATTGACATATAATTATTGTCCGTATCATGGGTTAATTTTCTCTGCCTTCTTTCCCCTCTCTCTTTTCGTTTGCTTTCTCTCTGATTTCTCTCTCTTTCGCATATCTGTCTTGCAAATTAGCTACATGACTGTTCAGTCCATGGTGAGTAGGAGGCTGTACTGATGATTCCCGCTCCAAACAGCATGCACTGCTCGGTCCATATTTACAGCTAAGGGATGAAACACAGACTAACTACATCGTAAAATGTCCTCCGGCACGTATGACACTTACGACCAATCCTTCCTTTCTATCGCTTCATTATAAGAGTTATTCTTAACCTGCCATCGACACCAAGGAACGAATCACAAAAGAATTGATTGTTTCACGAGTGGATTCGAACGCTCAACCTTCAGCACGAGGGCAGTTTTACTTGTCAATTACGCACTGCTCCGTCTATGTCTGCAGCTAAGGGATGAAACACAGACTAACTACATCTCTTCAGGAAATGTTCTAATATATCGGAGCAATATATTGGCAGTCCAGTTGATCGCTATCAAACACAAACTGACCATTCCGCAAAATGAATTTCGGTACTGTTCATCATCAACTGAGGTGCTGATTCGTGCAAGTGCAGCCAGCAGTGAACGTCGAGCCGGCAGATGATCAACAGATATTGCTGTAAGGCACGGGATCAGACGTGTACTTCGTGCTGTTTGTTCACCGTGAGCGTGCGATAACTGTACAAGTAATTCGGTGGCTTCTTTACAAAGTCTGCAACAAAAAAGACAAATAATTGCGGAGACGAAGTCGATTTAAAGTTTAAAACCTCCGTACCCTCTCTCCACATAATTTAAGCCGAGGAGCATCAGAAATTGTCCGAGTAATCGCAAATCTCAAAAGCAAACATCCTTTGGAGCGGCTGCCGATAGCTCCCTTCTGATTTACTTCAAATAATCCTAATCAACCAACACCATAACCGTCGTGTTGATGAGGTCCAGTTGTGGTGCTGAATAGGAATGTATGCGATTTGATAGATCGAACGACCCTGTTTCGC